AGTGAAATAGCACGCGCTCCATGAACGCGTCGGTTCATTCAATTACACAGCGTGATGTGAATCGTAAATTATAGTTTCAAACACAAATTTGTCATCGTTCACATGCCACACCTGAGGACTTTCACCTTCTTTCATATCTGTATGTCGCAGAACTTCATGGACCGCGTTTTCGGAGTCACGAACCGAGATAATATTTCCTGTAATGAGCTCCGCACGATCGATGGGCCCGCATACGGCGTTAGACAGAGGCCAACCTAAGTGCATAATGTATGATGTACCAATAGATAGATACGCGATCATTATATTGTCACAGACGGTTGACGAGTGTGGGCTGGTCGGTAACGGTGCACCTACGAAACTGGGACACATCGACGCACGTAATCCTATTATGAGCTCGTTAACGTAATCCCGCTCGGTCCTCAATTCTGCATTTCTATCTCTTTGTTACCTACGGTTTCTATTTCGAAATCCATTTTCTAATCTTCATGAACTTGAAAGGTCACATGGATTATGATGTTTAATACGACGTCTGGCCCGCTGATTCATCCACTGCGACTAATTGTATTAGATACGCTTCGATAAGGTTTAATGTGTCAACACAATACAAGGTATGCCCCATTATATGCTATTAAGTCCTCCACGTTTGTTTTGCTGAGTCATAAATAATCATAAATGACCGATGTAGTTACACCTCATAAAAATATTGTGGACAAAAAAAACTTATTAAAATAAATCTTGTTTGAAATATACCATTGTAGCAAATTGTGACTTATCACGGATAGCACTTAGATTTAAACGTCACATTCCTAGGCTGTTTGTTGCTAATTTAATTTTATTCGCATATTTTACAAATTAAATATGCAAAACTAACGACTTATCTTCGACTTTTTGGCCAAGTACTCTACGTTACATTATTTATGTATTTTTTTTTTATAAGAATAATAGCGTTGTTGAGATAAACCATCAACAAATTGCTTCAAATGAAACGCGTGGTTCTAAAAGCCCAATTTCTTGTGCCCGTTGTCAACGCTACGATGCTATCACACGAGGGCGTTGGCACGATAAACTAAATTTCTTGAATGATAAGGCTTTTTCTATTAGGCTGCTCATAATGCTCGTTTACTTCGTGACCTTTTTACATTGATGTACAGAAAACCCAAGATTTTTATTTCCATACAAAAAATAGACTAAAAGCTGTCTAGAATTTATGATTAACTTAAAAAAAAATTGCAGTAATTAATTGAATAAAGTTGTTTATTTGTCGTAAATACGAGTATGAAACTTCATGAATAGACAATATATTTTTACATTTGTAAGAATATTTTTGACACGTTTAACAACAACGACATAGGATGGTTAGAAATGAGCGCAACATTTGGTTGAATGTGCTCTATTTTTAGTACCATTTTTTAGTATCGGATTGTGTATCTAGAATGTTTTTATATATCTATGCTTTTTTCACTACATTATCAACGATTTGTACGTGCAACTAGGATCGTGTTCTTGTTTATTTCACAATTGTTAACTGGGTGTAGCTTGTTGACAACTGGAATTATGTAGATTTTGAACTGTGCACGTGTCTCTCCCTACGGAAATGTCGACGACGACTCACCACGTCAGACCGTTGCGTACCTTGGGGATTTGACAATTGTACAATAAAGTTATTTTAATATTGTTACGTGTTTATTTTTCTTTTTTACATTTACTAGAAAATAAAACACTTTTGTTATAGCTTTGGTATTCAATTCGGTTTGCTTATGGAAGAGATGTAGTGTGAAGACTACGCAAAACGGCTTATCGATTTTATATGAAATCTGCACTTGATGATTTTAGCCAATAAAAGTAAATATATTATGTTCACGACTGTTATTTAGATGAGGTACTAGACATTAGTTTTCTCTTGTAGGTATGATAAACATAATACTCCACATATCTATATAGTATTCTTTTTTTTTCATTTGTTATTATTAAATAGATATTTATTAATATTTTATCTCCTGCAACATTGCCAATATCAATACGTTGAATGCCAACCAAGAGATTTCAAATATTATGTACGTTTTTGCATATTTAAATATAATATTCGTTCCAGTATTCTGCTTTTTATTGCCAGAATTGTGCGAATGTAAATTTAGTATTTTCAATATAATTGGTATTTCACATGTTCAGTTACGCACAATATAAACTATTTCACAACAAACTGGCGGGCTATCTGATGGAAAGTGGTAAAAGCCTATATATATGGGCATAATAGAACATTAAAATTATGATCACATGGTGCTCTTAATTTTTTGCTATAACTGAGACCTTCCAGTAAGATGTCATGAAGTTAAATTACAATTCCTGTAATTTCAATTCCATATCTCAGTCTTCAAAGTAAAACACAGCCATGCAAGCATTTGCTGCTTCCATTTAACTGTTTTAATGAAAAATATTATAATTTTTTTTAATACTTACATCTGTATGCTTAGTTAAACGCAGTTATCTCCAGTGACGGTTATTTTTGGTATGTGTGACTTCAGTGAGGAGCCACAAACCAAAAATAACCGTAACCTCAATTCTGTATAAGCCCACGACGAGTATCCATAAACTGCGTCGCAGATCAAGGGCGTAAAACTCATCTCATTACACATTATCCTGCACTCGACTGTGCCTAGATTACGACGCTGCTCGCTAATAACTTCAATTCCGCGTCCAAAGCCAGACAACTAAAATACTTAATTTGGTGATGATACTCATATATTATAGTAAGAATCTAAAACAAACTTTTAGCAAAATATCTAAAGACTATAACACAGACTATTACTTAACGTAATAGTTATTTTAGTTGATTTCAATTTGCACAATTATTATAAAACTTGATACTATAAGGTTTTCATAAGTTATAAGTATTAGCAAATAAAAAAAAACTTATTTTTGTAAGAAATTTACTATTAGAGGTTCATAATATTACAAAGAAAACGAATATTTTTAAAATATTTCTTCTTTGTGGAGTTGCTAGAGGAAACTGAGTACTATACTAACTCGTATCTTGCTTCATACACTTTCTCATAACTCATTCATCGACGCCGATTTCAGAGTCTTCACCTCTCCAACATATACATATATAAGTACATTGTCTGTCTGGTCGATTAAAATAGTTGTTTTTCGTAAATCATAATATAATATTGTAATATATACTATTGTCTTCGTATATCCTGTCTAATTTAATATTCTTCTCGTACCCGCAATAATGGGCAAATACAGGGTCATCAGGTGACTCATATAAAATGATTTGTACGACGTTGTTTACGATTCATATAAATAGGATTTTCAACCTGTCTAATCGGGGGAAAAGAGATTGTTAGTAATGGGGTCAAATAGCCCCATTACTAGCAATATACCTTGACAGGTCGACCTCCACGTTGGTTCCCCCTGGAAACCGTCGTGCCTAATTCTAGTTGAATTCGTCAGGATGGGTTAACTGACCTGCTTTCATCCTCATCAGTCGTCTATCACTAGTGCCCCGTCAGTGTACATCGATAGCACAGGCGGGGTTAACATACCATTATCACCTATTAAACAACCTGTCTGATCTCTATGAATCTTAATTATTATGTTCTAATTCCCTTATACATAAAAACTAAAACCTCCTACAAACTTAACATACTGTTTTGTCACCTTCGTTCAAAGTGGTGATTTAGCAATAATGGTATTTAGAACAAAGAGATAAAACAGTTCAATAGCTAAAATAGCTTAATGAGAGGTTAAGAATACTTTATTTGCTTCGAATAGACTGCATCATGTATTCAAAGCAGATAAAAGTTCTCATTTAATAAGTAGACAGTTCCATATTTTGTCAATATTAAGTATGCAAATTATATAAATATACGTTTTGTTTAGGTTATTAATTAATCTTACAATACACAAATACATTTACAAGGTTTCACATTTTTATGAAAAAGAGGCTATATGTATAATTTCAAATGAAAATTCCATTCCATATCCTTGTTTAACCATTCCAGTCTGGGTTCAGCGCTGTGTGAATGATGTTTAAATCATTAGTTTGGCAGACCATAATTTCAGGAATTGCAGTGCATGATGCTTACCATCACAATTTATTCTGTTACTACTTTCCATCATCATGAACTATCAGATTCATTGCCATTGTAAATATCATAAAAAAGAATCCAGACAACACATAGCAGTGGAACTGGGTGGGTCAAGCGCATGACGTATAGGGTCAATAAATGCTACTGGAACTGTACGAATAGCATTTCAATAGGCATGTGACACCGTAATAAAGAATTTCGACAAGAATTTATAGTATTCTCCACCAACATTTGTCTACGTCCGCAAAACAATCTTTGTATAAATTTTGATTATTCAAAAAGTGACCTAATCTTGCTGTGATTAAAAATAGTTTTGACATATATGACCATGACAGATGTGTCATTTTAAAAATGTATTTTAAATATTTTAACTCTCAGCTATATAATTAATTATGTTTATGTGTTACTTGCATTATCAATTATATTTGTGTATTAAAATAAATTGTATTGTTTTGTGTAATGAGTAAAAACGTTATTAATCCTAAATAAAAAAAAAATCTTTTATATTAATAATAAAGTTTGCATTTATCGGCTACTATATCCTGAATTTTGACTATCTGTACAATGTGTTTTACTAAAATCAGTTCAGTCGTAAACGTTATTGAGTAACAAACATTAAAATTTCCATATTCATTGTACGAGGATCAAGATATTTGTTGAATATTTAAAGTATTACAAAAACACTACATTTGTGGAATAAACATATTTGATAAATTCTCTTTTAACTTCATTCAGAAATCAATACTATTTAATTTCTATACCTGACTGGTAACCAAAACCAAGTTACAAAATCAGTTCTGTAAATAAAACCTATCGAAATTGTACTTTGAAATACATATACCACATTTTCTGTTCTGTGTATTCAAAAAGGGGTCCTTAAAATTATAATAATGATTGATACAACAACACTGCTTTATAAAACTATATATTTGTACCAAAATAGAAGTTAATTATTACCTATCACCAAACGCTTGAGATCATTATGGTCGCGTACATAAAGAATTTAAATCGCACAGTCCTTGTCAAACAATTATAAATTGTAACGTCACAACAACAGCAATTCACAGCCTGGTATGGCTTAAATTGATAATATTCGTGTATATTGATATGAATCAAAATAATTACGAGTATCTGTCATATCTGGAAATAGTTACACTTGGCTTGAAAAATTGCTAGTGTAAAAATGTTTATTGTCCATTAACACTAATAATCGCTTATGTCAGATTCGCATTCAATTTTTGTTTCATTTTCTATCTCGAATCTTTCACTTCCGTCTAGAGGATCCTCTTCACTGTCGGCCATAAATTGTTCATAGCATTTTGCAAAGTAATTTTGATCAGCCCTAAATATAACATTACATATTTCCTGCTGTACCGCATTCTTCGTAGCCTCCGGGTATTTTTTCATTTTAAACGCTATAAAATTTGCAAAGGATTTTATTTCTTCGTCACTTTCAGACGTTACTTGACTAGGGCCTGCTGTGGGCTGAGCCGGTGGGGGCGAGTTTTGTTTGTTTGTTTGTGGAATGTCATTTGAAACGCGGAACTTATTTATCATTTTGGACATCTCTTTGCGAATCTCCGGCGATGGCCGACTTTTTTGTGCCGTATTACTGATTGGTGGCTGAAGGTGGTGATTTAATAAAGTCTTTTTAAGGCTAGGAGCATCATCGTCGTCATCATCTATGCCCTAAAACAGAAATAAATACACTGAAAACATTGAGATATCCGTATTACTCCTCATGCATTGCTATTCTTCTGGACTACTAAAGTGTTATTTAATGTGGTGACAGAGTATATAATGTCACTAATTTATTACCCGTAAAATATCATAAGAGAGGACTAAATGTACAACACCATACACCAGTACAAAATAATAAAAAACCCAATAAAACTTTATATAAAGCCTAAACAATCAGCGTGATAATAGTAGGCTAATATTCTCCTATCATCGGATTCATTCCTCCTCAGTAGAGAAAAATTAATGAGTTGTTGTACCTTCGTAGTTACTACTCGGTAATAAATATCACTGCCATGTCTGTGTGGGATTCAAACCGAAACACGGCCACGGCCGACAAATACTTGACGGCAAAAATATGAGTGAGACAGAAGTAGGTAGTTATACAGGTAGACAGCTTTGCCTAAAGGTTCCCTCTAGTAAATTATAAATGTTACTGCGCATGTCTCTTACCGTTGATTGTCGTTTTCTTTCTGTTTCTTTATCCATAAGAAATACCATTTCTTTAAATGCAAACCATGTGCTTTTGTACATATTTTTTAAATCTGCAACAAATAAATATGTGATTAATATAAAAAAGAACATGAATAAATAACGCAGCTTATTAGTGCGCCTATTTGTACGTAGGTATCCCATTTTAAATTACAGATGTTTTTTACCTTTTTCATCTTTTATACTACGCATAATCTTGGCCTTTTCTCTTCTAAATGAGGACATTAATATTGACATTTTATGTTTACAAACGTCAGCAGACACATTCAATGCTTTGCCGATTTCTTCCCATAATTGAGGCTTCATAGTTTTTTTGAAGAAAAACGGATCCTTCGTGTCCCAAAGTATAGGTCTGGCCCTGTATTCTCGTATGAGCTGTATACAGCTCTCCTCTGACCAATCTTCGTATACAGAAGACATTGGTTTAATTTATATATTCAACACAATACGCGTCGGCCTGTGTTCACACGAACGATACACTGAGCAAGATGGCGCCGTATGAAACGGCTCGAACGCCGTGTCGTTATCGAACTGTTGCAGTAACATTGCTGTCTCTTTCGCGTGCTATGTTCTCATTGTGAGTGCGAGCGAATTAGCTTGCGTGTCTTTGTTGTAAACACGCACGTTGTCTATTTAAAGTCAGTACACCGTTGCTGTAGCGAGGTATGTTTGTGTGCAAGTATAAAATTTGTGTGTGTTGGTAGCATCAAACAACACCAACGGTTCGCTCTCTGCGGTGGTGTTTAGTGTTTACATTCTATATAGATAGAGGTACGAGTATGTGTATTGACACGAGGTTCGTCTGTTTACATAAAGTAGCATTAGTATGTTTGTCTGATTTGTTAGTTGTGTAACGCAATGACGACTCGTTTGGTATAATGTGTTAAATAATAACCCATTAGGGAAATTATGTACACAATGCATCACTGGTTCGCCGGATAAGGTTGATTTAGATGTTAAATTAGTCAACAGTTAGACTTTAATCCATAAATATGAACTCACGGCTAGTGATGACCCTCTCTGTGAGTAATCCATAGCCTTAAACATTTAATAAGTTAGTATCTATATTAGGCATAGTGTATGATATGGAACTATGAGTAAGTAACTAATAAACAAATTCCTCTATAAATATTTGAAATTGGTAATAAAATTAATTTATTAAATGAAATTAATACGTGTAAAACTATCACATTTATACCTATTCGGAAAAAGTAGTTTCATAAATTACGCCGACCAGGAACGAACCCGGGATCTCATTAATTAATGACAGTGATTACTACACCAATTGGTATTTGGTATAATCGTCACATTCTAGCTTTAGTAAAACCGGTTCTACTTTTTTAGATTGTACGTCAGAGATTATTGCTGTTATTTTTTTTTTACTAGATATATCCCGCGGTTCTATCTGGATGACTACTATTAATGATTTTTATTATTTTTATTTATTAAAATGAATCATTTAATGAAGAAGATTGTTAGTAATGAGGAAATTTGTCCTTTTTACTAGCAATAAGTCTTAAGTCTACGTTAATGCCGTCCTGGAATCTATCGTGGTTAATTTGTAGCGAATTCACCACGATGGGCCAACTGAACTGACTTCATGCTCGTCATACATCACTCACTGTGCATCACCAGCCCACCAGGGTTACGATTCCATTTTCACTCAATTTAAAAGAAAACTATATATGGCGTTCCATTTATACTAACTCGCTAGATTCTATAACGAGATTACAAGCAAATAAAATATATTAGTTTACACAGATTTCAGGAGCAGATAGGTACTTTAGTATTCAGATAACGGGATGTAGTATGCTGTACATAATGTAGGTAACCTTGAAGTGAGACCAGTCATATTGGAATTCGTTATTACCGTATGCTAATAGCCTCACGCAAAATTTCCATTTGGCGTCTGAATTTTGTTGCCTGGAATTCTAGTTTGGTATAATCCAATCTTGTTAGAATAAATCGATCTAGTTGTCTGTACCCTCTGGAAATATTTATATTTTAATACATTATTACATGTTTGTAAAGGAATTTTTAAATTACGGTAACAAAATATTGTAACAAAACGTTACAGTATTTTATATTCTGGTATTTGGAAATTCTTAATTCCGAAAAAAAAATATAATCTACGTCTATTTTTTGTCTTTGAGCAACTGCGTATTCATTAGCTAGTTTTTACCTGCGACTCCGTCTGCGGTATGTTGATTGGCTAATTACAAAGGTAGCTTATATTCTCTGTCTCTAATACTAAGCATACAATATCAATGTGATTAATTGCTTTAAGAGTTAACAAACATACTTGTCATTAATAATATTAGCAAGGATTAAAGTAATTTTATTGATAAAATGAGAATATAGTACAAAATGCATATATTATGCTAATAGTATTATCTCTACTCTACCAACATTTGGTATGATCAATAAATCACGAACTATTGATTCTTACTGGTCATGAAAACATTTATTAAGAATTCTGTTTTTATACCACGCCATAAAATTATACTTCTTCATATTAATCATTCAGAAAGTAACTATGTAATATACTTACTTGGATTATAGTGTTTGACCTTTACACCAGTCTTTGGCCGCTTCATTAGTTTTACCTTGATCTAATTCGACGATGTCCAATCCGCCTAGCTTTATGAACACACTAATGGAATTACTAGTAAATCAAGATGTAACACACACACTATCCGGGCAGCTTCTATTCCCTCTACAAAACATTCATTTTCGCTTAAAATGTAAATTACAATGATCATTAGTCTAGATGCGGTTGACTCTGCCTCAAAATTCTCAAAATGCTTTACTAATACTATTTTGTTGTTTCATTTTAAGACATATACCAAAAAAGAAGATAAATGGTGGTTATTAAGAGTCTGTCGACTACTATATTCCTGTATCCATTATGTAAAGCTAGATTGTGCATCATATTGAACATAGACATTAATGTTTTACAGGTATCCTTAACTTCCTATATAAATTTATTCTTCCTTGTTTTGTAACAAAGACGAACAAATAAATATAAGACCGTTCCTTACTTCTAAAGAGTATTTATCTCTATAAAAGAAGAAAGATGCTGATTGATCAGTGCACAGTTGTATGACAACATTCCGGATCCAACAGTAGAATCGCAAAAGATGACGAATTAAAAAAAGTTTGTAAACTAGTGTATTTGAATTGAATTGAATTCGCCACTATTTTGACACTAGCACTATGAAATTTGCAGGGTTTAAGTAAAATAAGATCATTAAGAAAGGATTGTTAGAAGTTCTCAAGGAACACGATACGCAAATTTGCACGGGCGAAGCCGAAGAAAACGGCCAGTATTTTATAAGAATACTTTGAAATGAGATTTTAGAAATTTTGCTTCTATTCATTAGGGATCCTAACTCTAGTAACTATATATATATACTCGTAGAAGTTAGGGATACTAATTGCTGAAGATCATATTTAAGCAAATGCAACCTGAACAATAAACTTTATTACTACATAAATAATGAACTGTGATAATCTATTCAGCGAATGGATATAATTATACGCATTTATTTTCAAAATTACTTTAGTAATGGAGTTAAAATCAGTTCAAATCAGCCTTGGATAAGTAAATTAAATTTCCCCGATAATGCTATATATTTTGTCGTCCCTTGGGCACCTATATTCATTAGTCAGCATTAAAATTCATGTCATTCTATCCATTGCTTCGTGATCAATCAATGGTTTATTTGCAAAGTAATTGATTTATTCACGCCAATTCTCTTACGAGGTAAGCAAAACACTTCATATTTTATAGTGCACCAGAACAATTCGACTCATATTCCTACAGTACTAAGCTGTTCTCCAATGTTCCTTATCCTCTTATCCTTCAGTAGGAGGTAAAGAAACTTTCAATTTCACAAATAGTTATAAAACAACAGAAACGCTAAATATAAAAAATATGCTCACGACTATCCCTCGTAGGATATTATAATCACCATCTCATGCCACTACATCGGCAACAGTCAACGCTACGTCTCTGGCATTTTAACAAATACCATTACCGCACAAAATCAGTGGTCTTCTAGAATCTCCATGTACCATATAACTATACAATGTATCCAAAACTGTTCTATCAGTGAATCTAAACATTTTTCTCCATTAAAACATAGGTCGAATCGAAAAACGGCAAAAATTTTGAACCACCTATATCAATTGACAATTGCACTCGCTATTAGTGAACAGATTAGAGGTCATTAGAAAAGGTTAAAAATTTGGTATCGTGTTTGGTCCCATGTTTCTTTGGGAAAAATGTTCACATTCCTTCCTTCCTCCATCCTTTAAGGATGATTTTGATTCATCCCTGTACATCCCTTTTTTGTGCTTTGAATCCAGTTGGCGTATCTTGGTCTATAGCTAGTACAGTGACTTAGCATCATGAGAACCCCATCACTTACACGCCGGCGTTGTCTGATTCACGCTATCGGCAAAGTTCACTCCGTTCTATGAATGCTAAGAGGGTAGATTAGTTATGCGATGCAACTCGTACGCTGTCGTTCACACGCGTTCGACTGATCCACGGATGATAAGTACAATAGTCCCGACACTAGCCGATATCCCTTTGAAGGAACATACATGATACAATTGTGTTGTTTGTCTGTGTTCCACCGCGGCAATTTGTGTACCCCGCCCAACGTAAAATATGCAGGGCTGCCAGATTTTGCATTATTCCTCTAATTGAAAATTATTTTTCTCGAAAATCCTGTCTTTGGCTTTCTCCAAGAACTAAGTACATATAGACGACAAAAAAAATAAAGAAATTAACATACACGCACTTACCTCATATAATAAATTAACTTTTCTCTATAAATCTCTCCAGTACATATAATTTTTTGTATAAATCTGCTAAAAATACCCAATCTGGCAACACTGACGAGATAGGAGAGTTCTTTAATAAAGATATAAATGTAACTCGTGAGTAATCATAGCACAACATAATATCAACATTTCAGCTATCTCGACATATCGTACCTCCTCCACAGACCATTATAGCTGGTACAACTAGGATATGCATCTACTGAGTTCTTGTATTACTATTTGTATGAGATCATTTTATGAAACTGCAACATTAAACGTAGTATTTTAAAATTATATATCTATATCTAAATTACGAATTTTAAACTTATTTTCGAGTTATAATTAAATTAGTTCTTAAAACTTATAAAACTTTGTGGATAGGGTAAAAATCCTGTGTAAAAATAATATCGATTTAAATAAAAAAAATATTAGACATTTGGCTAAAAATCAAAATTTGTCTCTGGCACCTTTACTTAACGTTCATCATATAATTTGGCTGTGTTTATACTCTTATTCGTGTCATACTAATTTTGCCATGAGTAAAGCCGCTGATATTTTTTGTGAAAAAAAGAACCTTATGATACCAATTCAACGATAGGTATCCATCTTCTCCATGTCGGAGTTACATGTTTTTCTGGTCATCAATCGTAGATACTACCATTACG